TCGTCTACCACGGGGATCGTGTCTCATGCAATATAATTATTTTCACACAACATCCCATGCTGCACTAAAAACACCACTGACTTACTGGTTGCTATGGGAATAAAAAGGAGGAAAAAAAACCTCATGTTGTGGCCACCATTATCCCGCATTTCAGGGTTGTGTTCGGAGGAGCCAAGAGCATGGCACACGGGAGGCAGCTGGTAAAAGCAAAAGAAGAAAAAGAAAAAATAGCAAGCATTGCTTACAAAAAGAAGGTTAACTGTTCCAAAACAACGAAGCATGAAAACACAACACGGGAGCAGGCCGAGGCTGAATCCAAAGTACAGGCAGAGTTCAGAGAAACAAGCAAGAACTAAGAGCTGAAATCTGAATCCGTAAATACATGGTGACGTTCTGGTTTCTGCTGAGGCAACAAGAGGTAGGAGGGTGGGAATGTGCTGCATAAACTGAAGAGGGCTGATGAGCGGTGTGAAAACAGGTGAGAAGAGGGTCAGGAAACATCAGGTAATGCAGCAGGGCAGATGGGACTGAAGAGGCAAGTGAGTGACCGAGTCAATGACTGCACAAATTAGGCCTCCAGCTACACAATATATTTGTTCCCAACATCTAAAGCAACCCATGTATGCACCACTGAAAAGCTGCACAGTGCAGGAGTGACTCCACTTCAAGAGAGTGAAAAAAAAAATCAGAGGGTAGGCAGGCTGCAGGAATCACAAATGTTACAGCTGACTTTTGACCACAAAATTTAAACTGCTTGGCAGTTGCACGCTGTGTTAAATACATTTTGTCGGTTGTCAAAGTGTTTACGATTAAAAACAACTATAAAACTACAAATAACCTATAGCAACTGTCTGGTGGAGGACGGTCTCAAATATCAGTGATAAAACCTGCTATGAACGAAACCCTACTCAGAACCCCATTTAAAAGCAAAATCTATGGAGGAAGCGATACCAGCATATGCAAATAAACTACGACATATATTTTAACACATGAACTGACTTTTGTTTAAAAAAAAAAATCAGTCTCTTGGATAAACTGTGAAAAAAATGTGTCAGCATCGTAATAGAAACCGAATGAAATCACAAAAGTAGCATCAGTTATGTTTTTGTATACAAATATTTTAAGTCTCTGTAAAAACATTATCTCCTGATGCATAGTTACATTCACTGGCCTCTTTGTTAGGTACATCTGATCAAACTTCAGTGGAAATATCTAATTAGCCAATCACAGCAGCAGCCTGCTGAATATCAAGCTGAGCATCAGATAGGTGTGGTTGTCAGTGTCAGGGGCTCAGGAAATTGCAGAAACTGCTGATCAGCTGGGATTTTCCTGCACAACTATCTCCAGGCTTTACAGAGAACTGTTTTAAAAAAGAGAAAATATCTCTGTGTGAAAATGCCTTAGAGGTTAGAGGTCAGAGGATAATGGCCAGCGCCAAAAGAGCATCTCTGAATGCACATCAGGTACAGCAGCAAGAAGACCACACCAGGTGGCACTCCTGTCAGCTACAAACAGGAAACTGAGACTACAGTTAACACAGGGTCACTAAAACTAGACAAAAAACAAACAAACAACAGTCTCATTGGCTTAGTGAGTTTTTATTTCTGCTTCAGCTTTCACATCGCCAGAATTTGATGTAGACAGCACGAGAGCATGGATCCATCTTGCACTGTGGTTCAGGCTGCTGTTGGTGATGCAGTGTTGTAGGCCCCTTGAGCATTGTTTAAACAGCACACCTGAGTATTGTTGCTGACCATGCTGAACATGAAAATGAGTTCACTGTGAGTGTATGGCCTCCACAGTCACCAGAACTCAGTCCAACGGAGCACCTTTGGTGATGTGGTGAAACAGGGAGATTCACATCATGGATGTGCAGCTGTCAAATCATCTGCACCTGCGTGATGTCGTCATGTCAGTATGGGCCAAAACTTGTTGAATCTATGCCACGAATCATTAAGACTGTTCTGAAGACAAAAAACAGGTTCCAATCCAGGGCTATTAAGGTGTGCCTAACAAAGTGGCTTCTGGCGTTATAGGAATTTGTTTATTTTGTGGTGCAAAAATTAATTTCTTCTTATTGGCACTAACGTTTTTTTAAGCTTTACAAATATCAAGTGAAGCTCCAAGAGATTAAAATTTGTTATCTGTATCAGTGACAAAACACACTTTACACAAGTTTTCCTAAATCACACTGTATCAAATCAAAGAAGCACAAAGAACATGTCTGATAAATGCTGGTCCCGAGGTATTTGTCAAAGTCTATTAGGTTATTTGTCTTTGTAAAAAGAAAACAAAGGTGCATGGAAGCAGGCTGCCCCTGCGTCTATCTGTCTGTGCCTATCAGGCCCTTGAGAAGTCATTGATCCATGCAGACCCTTTGCTCATATGCCCGGCAGATGCTGCAGCAACAACAAAGACTTCTGTTCCTCCCTGACAGCACGACCACTCGTGTTTCCGTCAAGAATGGGTAGAAACCCTGGAGCCGTCAACCTTGCACAGCAGGATCAAATAAAACACGATGATAAGCTGGGGTGAAGTTTTCCAGACCTAAGAAATGCTGCACCTTTCATGTCCTGGAGTCGTATTAACATCCTGCAGAAAGCTCAGTAAATACTGCTTCTTACCTGTGGCCAACTGGCAAAGTGGACATTAACTGAGCTTTAAACTCTGTTATTGAGCCGCTGCCATTGACATCTTCATTGATCACCAGTATTCTCATAAGGCCCAGTAGAAACTCAGCTGATTAATCATTTAAGCAGATTTTAATGAGAGCACAAAGAGGCTTGAATTGGAAATTGATGATATATGAAAATCTTAGAGGGTGATACTGCCCTCAGCAATGATGGTTAATTGGCAAAAGGACTGAATTTATGTAAATAACATAATGAGCTACAAGGAGCGGTGTAATGAAAAATGTTGATGGATGTCAGTGACACAAGTAATTCTCTGTTATGTTGAACATTTGACAGCGGCATAAAGGAGCTTCAATTTATCATGCATGTGACAAGATTACTATTTTCCCCCAGTTTTGAACATCATGTATGTCACTTGTGAAACTGCTGAGATCACCACTGTGAGACCGTGATGGCTAAAACGAGGAAGGCAGTTCATCAGGTGATCGAACAGGATTTAAGCTCAACAGAAAATTGTTTAATGACTGTTTTTGCATTACTTCAAGATAAACGTAGTCCATTTTCGTCGGCCTCAGAAAATAATGTTCTGTCAAAGTCTTTGGTGTGTCACATTATACACAGAGTGTACATTGGTGGGGCTGCAGAGCTCATGCCATGGCAATAAAACAGGGGTCACTTCCAGCTCATCACTTTTCTACATGCATTTTTAATGTTTTGTAGATCATTTTAACCTGAACCATGCTTTTCCTTAAGCTACAAAATCAGTTTTTAGTGAGTAAACCTAACCAACGAGTGGCAATGAAAGCAAAAAGTGAGTGCAAACTATGGTCTCCTGGCCATTCCCACCCCCTTCAGCCTTCTTGTCTGGATACTGTAGGTCTGTTAAACCTGATCATTATTTCTCGGATATTGTTACCTTGTGCAGGGTGGCATTATACAGCGCGACAACCTGGGATGAGAATATGTTATGGAACATTTACATAACCTCACAATACTTTTGAGTTATTTCTCCTGCTACATATTCACTAGAGACTGAACCGCAGCAGCAGGAGAAGTCCGAACAATAACCACTTATCCAGACGCAGATCAGCAGTCACAGCAGGAAGAACAGCTGCAGCTGTGCTCACAACCTGCAGCTGGATCCTGTTGGACATCTACAGTTTAATATGAGTAATGAGCATTAAATGCATCATGTAAAATCTCACATCATTTCTCCTCTTCAAGTTATCTGCAGCCTTTCTTTTACTGGACTGGATCACAACGAATATCCATGTGGATTAAAATTCATGTAAACCATATTAGGACTAAATTATTGTGACATAAAGGCAAAATCATTGCAAAGAAATCTACATTTTATGGTGAGTTAACCAAAAAATGTCCTCTGTGGTCTTTACGGAGCCCCATAGAAAAAGGTTCAGCTTATTTTGAAGATTTGGGGTGTGGTCATTTTACCTCAGAGTGAAGGTTCTATCCCCATCTCTCCTAATTTTAGTGATGCAGTCCTAATTTTTGTCTGGGTACTGTTATATAATGGATATAAATGATGACCTACAAGCTGGAGTTATACTAGTAGTATGCTTAGGAGAAACTTTTTTAGACAAACATCTCAGTAATTCCCAGAATTTAAAAATTTTAAGACCCCAAAGACGCTCAGATGTCTTATAGGTAAGTTCATGCGGCAGATGTGCTTTCCTATAGCAGCTCCTGCAGGGCTTTAACATTTCTGTAGAGAAGCCTGTTTTTTTTTTTTTTTTTTTTTTACTGTCCATCGACCCAAAACTGTGTAACTAGAAATTTCGAGATAACTCAAAACTTTGACTTAGCACTGCTTGACATTTTTATTTATTTATTTCACTGGCAGCAACAAGCTTCCATACATCTCTGCTTTTCTGGGTCAACTCGGATTTAATAAAAAGTTCTCAGACCAATCAGAGGATGAGCTATCGGGCCTTTTAAGTCAGTGTTCCTCCAGCAAATCAAATCAATCTTCACATTATACAGCAGAAAAGTTACAAGATGTTTGCAGACTGTGAATTCAAACTGAGCTTGAAAACTGTCTCTAAACTGTATTATTAAAATAATCACATTGCACGTGTTTTTTTTTTTTTCATGTAATGAACATAATAAATAATTGGGAAATAGATGTTATGTTACCACATGGACCCTCCTGGGACTCCCGCAGTGACCCTCAAAGAGGTGCCGGTCTCTATTTTGAGAAACTGGAAAAGCTCTGCGTGGAAAAATCAGTGACATTATCAGAAAAAAAGGAGAAAAGCAGAAAAAGACAGCAGCGAATACAAGAAGAAAGCTCGGACTGATTCAAAAACTCTGACCAATCCGAAGTCACATGACTCAACCACCAGCAGCGAACGGAGAGCGCAAAAGAGACGCAGAGCCTCGGTGTACACAAGCCTGCACACCGCCAATCCGACACGGCTATACGCCCAATTTCTTTTTAATTGAAACCTTTTACTCCCGCTCGGTGAGTACATTTCCCACTGCCATTTTCTTAAGCATATTTTTGTCCTCTTTTTCTTCCTTCCTGTTCTTGGTGTTTCGACACGGGGGGAAATGTTTTCTCGTTTTCTGCATGCAATGATTTAAATCTTGGATGCAGAGTGTTTGTGCTCCGGTGACATCCACTGAGAAATAGCCCTACGTGCTTGCGGACGCTCTTGATATTTTTCCCCCCTCTTCTCTGTCTTCCTCTCCTCTTCCCGAAGCAGCTTTTTCACGAGCTCACTTGTTCCGATCTCGACCTTTTGCTTATTTTCTGGCTTTTTCCTCCTTTATCATGGCTTATTTTGGTGTGGTTTTGGTGCTTTTCTCGGGTCTTACAGTGTTTCTCTGGTGTTCGAGGCTGTACGTCTCCTCGGGCGCAAAAATAACAGTTTTGATTTTCATCTTTGAGGATTTTGCTTTTCCAATAGGTGAGAAATTTAACTTTGCTGGAGTTTGTTTTGGTGCTGTCTTTGTACTTCTTTCT